CTATTCTAATGTCAGGGAGTAGTGAGTGCCTCAGGGAATACAGCAGGTAACAGCTGCAGAGGAATGGAGGTGGCTCTTTCTGATAGAATGGTCAGAGCAGGCTTCTGTGAGGAGACTTTGAGCAAACACCTTAATGAAGTGAGGGAATGACCCAAACAGATGAGCCGGGAGAACAGAGAATACAGTCTGTGGAGCTAAACCCAGCTTGCAGATTTTTTAAAATGTGTTTCACATGGTATTAGAAGAGTACTTTGAGTCAACCAAGTTCTGGTTCCATCACCAAATCCTCCCAATTTCTTCACTTACAATGTTTTGTTAGTTTCACGCGTACAGCAAAGTGGTTCAGCTATACATATTATATATATATTTATACGTAAGGTATATATATTTTTTCAGATTCTTTTCCATTATAGGTTATTACAAAATATTGAATATAGTTCCTTGCTGTTTATCTATTTTATATATAGTTTGTGTGAATATGTTAATCCCAAACTCCTAATTTATCCCCCCGCCACTTTCCCCTTTGGTAACCGTAAGTTTGTTTCCTATGTCTGTGAGTCTATTTCCGGTTTGTAAATAAGTTCATTTGTATCATTTTTTTGGATTCCACATATAAATGATATCATATGGTGTTTGTCTTTCTCTATCTGACTTACTTCACTTAATATGATAATCTTTAAGTCCACCCATGTTGCTGCAAATGGTATTATTTCAATCTTTTTTATGGCTGAGTAATCGTCCACTGTATATATACGTATACCACAATTTCTTTATCCATTCGTCTCTCGATGGACATTTAGGTTGCTTCCATGTCTGGGCTATTGTCAATAGTGCTGCTATGAACATTGGGGTACACGTGTATCTGTTCGAATTAGAGTTTTCTCCGTATATATCCCCAGGAGTGGGATTGCTGGATCATATGGTAACTCTACTTTTAGTTTTTTGTTTTTTGGGGGTTTTTTTGCGTTATGCGAGCCTCTCACTGTTGTGGCCTCTCCCGCTGCGGAGCACAGGCTCCGGACGCGCAGGCTCAGTGGCCATGGCTCACGGGCCCAGCCGCTCCATGGCATGTGGGATCCTCCCGGACCGGGACACGAACCCGTGTCCCCTGCATTGGCAGGCAGACTCTCAACCACTGCGCCACCAGGGAAGCCCTCTACTTTTAGTTTTTTAAGGAACCCCCATACTGTTTTTCATAGTGGCTGCACCAATTTACATTCCCACCAACAGTGTAGGAGGGTTCCTTTTTCCCCCCACCCATACCAGTACTTGTTATTTGTAGACTTTTTGACAGTGGCCATTCTGACTGGTGTGTTAACTACTCCCAATTTCTGATTCCTTTGAAAACCCGGAGCTGTGTCCTTTGGGGCGACTCCATCCTCCCTCCCCAGGCATAGCATCTAGTATGGCCCCTGTGCACAGCCCACCTACCCAGGTGCAGAGTGGTGCTGTCCAGGTACCAGGTTCTGAAGAAAAGTTCTCATGGAAGAAAACATTCTCATGGACAGTGCAGAGGAGCTTGGAGCCTTCAAAGAGTTCCCTTCCACTGTGGGATGGTGAAGCCAGCACTGGGACGTCTATCCCCAAACTCCCCCTATTCCTTGATATCCAACCTAGAGGAGCACTTGGGTGCTTAGAGGGCATGTAACCAAAACAAACAAATTAAAAACACAGTTCATTCATTTATTCAATATGCAGCTCATTTATTCAACAAGCAGCTCTAGTGCTAGGAATCACCCAGTAGACTCTGGCAGTCATACTCTTGTCAAAGGCTGGCAACCATTCTGACTGGTCAGTGCCCATGCCAAACACTTGCAAAAACTTTTCCCACTGAAACTATTATTCAGGCCCATCCTTTACCCCTCAGCTTCTCCCTCACTCTGCCCTTCAGTCTCCCTTCCCTGCAGCTCATGACACTGTAGACTTGAGGCTCCTCAACAATTCTCCGAACTCTTCCTGCAACCTCTCCAGTGCCTCTTCTGCAGCAGGAGATCTTGCAATCAGAACAAAAGAAAGATAAAAACTGCTAAAAACTCTATTCTTTCATGGGATCCAGGATTTGGGCTAACATCTGATCACAGTTCTGGGGTCAGCAAAATTATTATATATTATAGAATTAGAAAGGGATAATGGGACTCAGGGTCCCTCAAACGCCTCCTTCACTGTGAGTATGTAGGATTACGACTCTATGCATTTGTCGAAACCCATAGAACTGTACAGCACAAAGAGTGAATTTTATCATATGTAAATTTTAAAAATCCACCAGGATGTAGGGGAACTCAAAATGGAATACAAACTGTAACAACTGAACCTAACTGTATTACCAATTATATACTGTATTTACCTAACTGTTTTACTTAAAAAGGGCGGGGATGAAAAGAACTAACTGAAGTAACTTTGGGAAAAAGAAACTTGACTGTATATTGTATGTCTAAAGACAAAAATAACTGTACACAAATACTACACTCTAGTTAGTAAATTTATTTCTTACTGGGTATGGGTTAGCAATTGTGAGACTATTTTATGTACATATGAAAGTTGAACAGATAAGTAAATATATTGTAAAAAAAAAATGAGAGTCAAATTCTTGCTAGAAAGGAAAGAATTTTCATGGGACTTCCCTGGTGGTGCAGTGGTTAAGAATCTGCCTGCCAATGCAGGGGACATGGGTTCGAGGCCTGGTCTGGGAAGATTCCACATGCTGTGGAGCAACTAAGCCCATGCACCACAACTACTGAGCCTGCGTGCCACAACTACTGAAGCCTGCATGCCTAGAGCCCATGCTCTGCGACAAGAGAAGCCACCACTATGAGAAGCCTGTACACTGCTACAAAGAGTAGCCCCAGCTCGCCTCAACTAGAGGAATCCTTCGCACAGCAATGAAGACCCAACACAGCCAAAAAATAATTAATTAATTTTTAAAAAAAAAGAATTTTCAAATAGGGAAAGCTAGAATGGACCCTGTGTGTTAGATCGAAATCAGAGATATCAATATGAATTGTTTTTGAGAGAGAAAGAGAGAGAACTCTCCAAGTTTTGTCCACCGAGAGGGCCAATAAGCAAGGATATCCCACTAGCAATAAGCCCAGCTAATACCCAGATCTTGGTTTCTAAATACCATCTTCCAATACAAGGAATCAGGACTTTTTCGAGAAGTGGTTGATTCCAGGGCTGGGACAGGGAAAATATAAAAACATTTATGGAAATTCCCTGGCGGTCCAGTGGTTAGGACTCTGTGCTTCCATTGCAGGGGCCATGGGTTTGATCCTTGGTCGGGGAACTAAGATCCCGCAAGCCGGAAGGCGCATATGTGGCTCAGATTCTGGTAGGTGAGTGAGCGTAGTGGTGGAGATAGTGGCTAATTCTCTTCCAATTGCTATTTTCTCTATGGGATAAGAAATGGGACCACCAGCAGAGTGATGTGGAAGGAAAGGGTCATGGAGGTTTGAGGGAACAGGAAAAAGTGTAACAGTTCGGGCTCAAGGAGAGGCTAATTAGAGATGAGGAAGGTTCAGCTGCCCTTGGTGTGTTTCAGTTTCTCCACCAGCGTTGCTCAACTGGGTTGGACTTTGCCCCCAAGTGGACATTAGATAATGACTGGAGTCATTTTTGATTTTTTACAGCTGGGCGGAGGTCTGCTACTGACATCTAGTGGGTAGAGACCAGAGCTACTGCTAAACATCCTACCACTCATAGGACAGTCCCCCCACCCAAAAAGAATGATTTAGCCCAAATGTCAATAGTGCCAAGGTTAAGGAAACTCACAATACATCCCTCCCTACCCCATGTTCCCTCTGTAGCAGGAGAACAAGTCACACCACCAGAAGAACTCAAAGCCCCTTAAAACTCCCCTTCTCGTGAATCCCAAGTTCCCCAGTAAGGCAGTCCCATCAAGCCCCTCTCAACCCAGTTCTAGGGTCAGGGAAATGTCACTTATGGGGTTCAGGTAGATCCAGTACTGCTCCTTTCCCCCAGAAGTAGGGGTAGATGCCAGGGGAAACTAGAAATACATAATCCCGTAATCAAGCCTTCACCCCTCTTCCAGGACCTGCCCCAACCTGCCTTTCTGGGACTTAAATAATAGCATGGGCCCCACCTCCATCCCAACATATGCCTGGGACTGGGGTGTCAAATCCCCCAGAACCTCCAAGCACTTCCTCCCCCGCCCCCATGGGAAAACTACCATCGTGTCCACCAATGGACCTGGGGGGTCACCAACACCTCCACCTGGCCTCCCAGACCCTTGACCTCTGGGGCTGTCTCCCCAACCCTAACCTCCAGGAACTGGAGTCCTAGTTCAACTCCAGGTTTTTGCAATCTGCCCTCCTGACCTAGCAAGGAGTTGAGTAACTGTGGCCAGTTTCTGGGGTGGAAGCCAAGAGCAGACAGAGCTGGTGGGGAGCTTAAGACAGCCTCGGAGGTGGAGGTGAGGCAGGAGGTAAATGCCCCCCCACCCCAGGGTAAATCAATTGGAGATTTGTTCCCTGTGGACCAATACTCCAAGACAAGCATAGCAGGACAATCGAGGGAGGAGGCTGGGCCCTACCCAGATAGAAGATAAGAGACCACTTATTTCTCATTCTCTAAGTCAGGAGACCTCCCCGACTACACATGCACAGAAAAGCTCCTTCGAGGTCAAAATGGGAGGGGGCGCCACCCCACAGTAAGTGATGCTAACTACCCACAGACCTCTTCGGTAGAATCCAGCTTGGCTAAGAGATGCGCGCACACACATGGCAAGGTCCTGAGATAAACTGAATATGGACTCTGAGCCAGGCAAATCAAAATGATTGGCCAAAGGAAACCTGGAAGAAATAAGTGATTTAAACTGCCACAAGGGCATGACTCTCTGAGTCTGCCCGTGTGTCTATCCACACGTACTGTACTTTTTTCTCCTAATAACTACTTTACTTGTTTCACTACTTTCCATCTTTGTGGGAATTCTTTTCTGCAAAGCTGAAGGGCCAGGGGCCTTGTCACTGACCACTGACCAGTGGTCTATGGCTAGGATTCGGTGCTCTCACCACCGCGAACTGGCCACAATCACTGGCTGGGAACTGAAACCCTGCTTCAAGCTGCTGCAAGGCCAAGGCCACCAGAGATCAGAGGTGTACGTGGGCAGTAGCGGGGGTACCATTCACGTCTGAGGTCCTTTCTCCTGAGGCTTCTGCCTGCCCCGCCCTTCTCCCAAATCCTCCTTCAACCTTAGCCTGGCTTCAGTCCTGTCCACTGCAGTCCAGCTCTTGGAGGTGTGAGAGACAGAAAGAAAAAGAGACAGGGAGACACCCAGACAGTCAGGAGAAGATGGTGACTGAGAAAGATTACAGGGAGAAAGAAGCAGAAAGAGAAAGGGCACAAAGAGAATTAGAGATGGAATAGAGGGTGAAAGATAGAGACCCAGAGACACAAAGGGAGAGAGAATGAGAGAGACAGAGACATAAAAAGAGACAAAAAGTTTCAGAAGCAGAAGCAAAGAGAGACGCATACAGAATTTCAGAGACAAACGGCAAGAGACAGAAAACGGTGAGAAGAGTTGTGAAAATGGGCCCCCAGAGAATGAGAAAACTTCTGCCCAGGACAGAGATCCTGACCCCATCCTTGTCCCTTCATTTTGCCAGAGCTCTGTAACCCCAAACCAGACCCAGAACCAGATCCAGGGTCCCCAGTGGCAAAAAATGGATAAGACTTCACCCCAATCCAGGGCAAATGGACACCACTGGCCACAGTGAGAAGAGCTGAGGTGAGCCTATAGGAGGCGGAGGTGGGGTTCCCAAGGAACCCACTCAGGGCATCACTGCAGCTGGCTGTGAGCCCCAGACCCATGCAAATAATGCAGGAAGATGGGAGGGATTAAAAGTCACTGGGAGAACTAGGAAAAAGGGGGGCAAGGTGGTGTGGACAGAGATGATTTAAGAGCAGCCCCTCTACCCCCAGACACATTCAGAGCTCCTGAGCACACATCTGGAGCAGCCACTGCCAGTCGGGCCAGACCCTCCAGAACACACCCATTTTACAGATGAGAAAACTGAGGCTTAGAGAAGGGAAGTCGGTTCGCCTAGGTCATGCCTAGACTAAGAGTCCAAGCCAAGATCCAAACTATGTCTATTTAACTCCAGGTTCAGTTTGCTGGGCCGTGCTATCATGTCATGGCTGATGCAGGAATGCGTTGTTTTCATGTTGCTTTCCGTGATCCGTTGGGTCGTCAGGTCATTGGGTGTTAGGTTGTGCTGCTGTGTGTCATTGCCAAGTGAGGTTGTAGTATTGCCAGACACTGTGTGTAGTATTGCCAGACACTGTGTGTAATATTGTCAGACACTGTGTGTAATATTGTCAGATTGTATGCTGTGTTGCTAGATACTTTTGGGGTGTTGTTATGCTGCATGTTAGGTGTCCAGGAGCCTGTGTCCTGTGTTGCTAGCGGTGTTACCGCCTGGGGTCTGGTGTGTTGCACACTGCGTCTCCCCGACCCGTTAGCCCCTCACCCTCAGGCGAGCCCTTCGACCCCAAGTTTGTGCTGAGCCGCTCGGTGTCCAACATTATCTGCTCCGTGATCTTCGGCACCCGTTTCGACTACGACGATAAGCGTCTGCTCACCCTTATCCACCCCATCAATGACAAGTTCCAAATCATGAGCAGCCCCTGGGGAGAGGTCAGGAGGCCTAGTTCCACGGGCGAGAGGGTTGGGGGTCCAGCCCCTCCAGGGATATAGGGGAAGCAGTGGGCAGGGAAGGAATTGCGATTGGCCCTGCAAGGCCCCGCCCCTTTCTGTCTGACCCCGCCCCCGAGGTATGCGGCCCTGCCCACTCCACAGGGGCTCCACCTACACATAGCCCCCGCCCCACGCTACACACACACACACACACACACACACACACACACACACACAAACGCGCGCGCTCCCTACCTCCTTGCCTGGCTGTTCCTCCTAATCCCTACAGCTCTGCTCCATCCTCTGAGGTACCATATCTTTCCGAGCCTCCTGGACTGGGTGCCCGGGCTGCACCAACACCTTTTCCAGAACTTCGGACGCATGAAGGACCTCATCGCCACAGTGTCTGTGACCACCAGGCCTCCCTCGACCCAAACTCTCCCCGGAACTTCATTGATTGCTCCTTACCAAGATGGCACAGGTAAGCCCTGCCTGGAAGTCTCATCTCTGGTCTGACCTGCTATCCTGCCTCAGACCAACAAGGATCCCGAGTTGAGCGCGTTTGGGTTTAATCTCCCCACATCCGGGAAGTGAAGCTGGAACACCTGGCTCTGCTGGGGCCACTCGGGGCCTCCGCCAATTAACAGCTGTTTAAGAAATCCTTAAGGATTTGTTATTGTGGGCCCCGCGGCTGAGATTCTCCCTACCCTGCCCTTCCGCGCTCCCCAGCTCCCCCAAGGAAACAAAATTAAAGAGAGGAGGGGCTGAAGTGGCACCCAGTAGCAGTTGTGCAGGTCTGTGGGGAACGGGTCGCACAGGATCCGAGCCCGCAGGATCCCCCCGCGGCCTTGTTCACATCCCCACCTCTTATCCCCCGCAGGAGAAGCAGGACCCGCTGAGCCACTTCCACATGGATACTCTGCTGATGACCACACACAATCTGCTCTTTGGAGGCTCCGAGACCGTGGGTACCACGCTGCGCCACGCTTTCCTCGCGCTCATGAAGTATCCAAAAGTGCAAGGTGCGAGCGCCGGGAGCCTGGTGGGGAGACCCGCCCACACGGCGCGGTAGAGCACACCCGCTCCTCCCGCCTCGAAGCCCCGCCCACAAACAATGAGCTCCAGCCCAGTGTGTCTGGAGTGAGAGCCTCCAGCTCGCGCCTGGGTCGCACAGCCAAACCCGCAAGCCCACCGGAGGCTGAGCCCACCCACGTGGTCCCCGCGGTCCACACAGCCTGCCGGGTCTGCCGGGACGCAGAACCCGCCCGCATGATCTTGCTTTGCCGCCCACCTCTGACCCTGCCCACATAACTCGCGCAGCCCGCCCAGAGCCCGGCCCCAGAGCCTCAGCCACCGGGCCTCCCCAGGAACCCATCTCCTCCCACACAGTCTGAACGGCCCGCACCGCACAGTCTGCGACCCCGCCTCCCCAAACCCCACCTCTGGGTCTTTCGCGGAACCTTGGCCTCCAGGACGCTGTGCGGAGGCCGACTGGGTCTTTGCCGCCTGCTTCACCCCCGATTTCTCAGCTCTCCCGCACACCCCACTCACTCCATCCATCCTCCTGCAGCCCTGGTCCTCGAAGTCCCGCCGGCAATCCCATCAGGGGCCTGGACCCTAAGCAGCCCCGAACCCCCTTCGCACAACCCCGCCCCTAGGAGCCCTGGCACGAACGAAACTTACGCCCTCACCTACATCTCTGAACTCAATGCCTCCCTCCCGAAGCTCCGGCCAACCTTCACATGCATCCCTGGAAAGCGTTGACTGGACCCCTTCCACACGCAGTCACACACACCTCTTCTCAGCACAGTCAAGCCTGCTGATACCCTCAACAACGCTCCCCCCTCCACCTGCAGCCCGCGTACAGGAGGAGATCGACCGCGTGTTGGGACGCGCGTGGCTGCCTGCGCTGGAGGACCGAGCGGCCATGCCTTACACAGATGCGGTGATCCACGAGGTGCAGTGCTTCGCAGACGTCATCCCATGAGCTTTCCACACCGCGTCGCTCGGGACACGACTTTTCAAGACTTCCTGCTACCCAAGGTGCTCTGGACACCTGGCAAACGACACCTGAAACCTTAGGAAGAGGCATCCCAGGCTCTTGCAACAGGCATCTGCGGCTCTAGCAAGGAATATCCCAGGCCCTAGCAATCAGCACCCCGGACCTTAGCAGCTGGCAACCCAAGCCCTAGCAACAGACATCTGAGGCCCTTAAATCCAGAAACTCAGCCGTATGCCACAGCATAGTGGACTAGACCACGTCCTGAACCCCAGACCTCTTCCCTATGAGAGGCTCCTTTCCTAAGACCCTCTCTGAAATCCCCAAGGTCTCAGACCTTATCCTGGGGAGCCCCTGTACCTAAATACTGTTCTCAGAGACCGCACTCCCGCCCCAGGAACGCCAAATCTGTTCCTACAAGGGGGGTATCCCGCATCCCTGCCTCAGACCCCAACAAAACCATTTCCAGCACCCATCACTGGGAACCCTAGACTCCCACACCCTAGACTTCCTGGACCCCTGTGGAGTCCTATGCTCCACCACCCCTTATCATGTCCCCAGGACTCCCAGCTCTGTACAGTGGAAATCCTAGTTTGGGAACCTCCCAGCCCTTCTAACACCACTGATTCTGCCTCTCCACCCACATGGGGCACGGATATCATCACCCTCCTTGATACAGTCCACTACGACCCCAGCCAATTTCTGACGCCCTGGGAATTCAACCCTGAGCATTTTCTGGTTGCCAATCAGTCCTTCAAGAAGAGCTCTGCCTTCATGCCTTTCTCAGCCGGTGAGAGTGGTCAGGGGCAAGATCCAGTCTTTCTGGCCCCGTATTCCACCTGCATTCCCCAGGCCTAGTTCCACTCCCCAAACCCTCTCACTTCTTCGTCCCATCCCATCCTCAGCTTTGGATATGCAAAGACATTTCCTTCTCCTTCCCAGCTCTGCTCCTATAGGCCGATAGCAACTGAAATCCCCACGGAGGGAGGCAGGGAGTCAGGATAATATTGTAATTTAACTTGGACCTGGTCACTGTCAGTCTCTCCACTGGGTGGTGCAGTTGAAGTGGTCCTGGTTTTGGTCTTTACCCGGCTGAAAAAAATCTTTCCTGTTTAACTCAGTATTAGAAAAGGGGGTGGGGTGAATAATAATAGGTAACTTACCATATTGCCTACTGTGCACCAGGTGCTACCTCTGAGAGTGGTGGCTAAGAGCTGGGCTTTGCTGCCAGACCCCAGCTTTGTCATCTTCTAGCTGTGTGGCCTTGGATATGTTCCTTCACCTCTCTGCGCCTCGGTTTTGTTTGTTTTTTTAATATTTACTTATTTATGTATTTATTTATATATTTGGCTGCACCAGGTCTTAGTTGCGGCATGCGGGATCTTTAGTTGCGGCATGCGAACTCTTAGCTGCGGCACGTGGGATCTAGTTCCCTGACCAGGGATCAAACTGGGGCCCCCTGCATTGGGAGCGCGGAGTCTTAGCCACTGGACCACGAGGGACGTCCCTGTGCCTCGGTTTTTACATCTATAAAATGAAGATCATAAAAAGGTCCACCTCTTGGAGTTATTAAGAGGATTAAATTAATAGCAGTATAGTGCTTAGAGCATTATATATGTTCACAACAACAAAATGAGGCACTATTACCCTCCCCATTTCAGGTACCTACCCAGAAACTGTGGCTTGCCCAAGATCAGGAAACTAGTACTGTCAGAGTTGGGACTCGAACCCCTGCAATGTTGCACTTGCAGCAGGTCCACGATTTACTTAAACTGTCTTTTCCAGACTTTTAGATGGATGGGTCCGTGAGTACCCAGCCATTATTCTGTTTTCCTTTGAAAGTTGAGGGCGCCCCTCACCCCATCTTGTCTCATTGCTCCTGCCCACCCTTTCTCCCTGTGGGAGGCCGGCTGTGCCTGGGCGAGTCGCTGCGGCGCGGGGAGCTCTTCCTCTTCCTCACCGCCATCCTGCAGCTTCTTGCTGGAGCCGCTGGGGGCGCCCGAGGACGTCGACCTGACCCCGCTCAGCTCCGGCCTCTGCAATTTGCCGCGGCCTTTCCAGCTGTGCCTGCGCTCGCGCTGACGCCGCATCCCTTTCAGGTTCGCCAGTGAGCGTTGAGGACCGCCCGTTCCCCTGCGCCCCATCCCTCTCGCTGTCACACTCGCTTCCCCTCACCTGCCGCATGCCCATCCCCCATCGCTCCTGTCTTTACCTTCTGAGCCCCCAGAGGCAGAGAAAGCCAAGGGGAAGGGGAAGTGCATGCCTTGTTTTATCCACAGAACTCGTTCTGTTGCGCACACTTTGGGGGATTTTGTATCAATTTATAATAAATTATAATAGATTCGAACCTGCCTTGGCTGAATTAAAGGGAGGAGGATAGTCCTCTAGGATGGGGAGAAGGAAGGTCTGGCTGCAGAGAGGGGAGACACCTGGCTGTGATGAGTTCAACCCTCACCCTTAGGGCGGTTAAAAACTGGGAGAAATTGTTTCCTGGAGACAGGCTGGAAGGTAAAGGCTGTGAGGGCTCGAATGAAGACAGAGGCAGAGAAGCCAAGGCCAAAAAAAAGACAGCAGCCTAGAGAGATATGGAAAAGGTCTGCAAGAGATGCAGGGCACTGTACAAAGATGGAGATGCAAGCAGGGAGAAAGTGAGAGACCCGGAGAAATAAACAGACCCAGAGGCTGAGAAATCACAATTACTAACACTTACCTAGTGCTTCCTATTCACACACTGGTCCAAATGCCTCATTTAAATATCCCTATGAGACAAAGCAATTTTATTATACATTTTTACAGATGAGCAAACTGAGGTTGCTCAGAGAGGTGAAGTGACTTGCCCAATATTACACAGCCAGAAACGGGCAGAGCTGGGTTTGGAACGCAGATCATCTGGCTCCAACACTGCTCTTCAAAATCTTATGAGTCAGAGACACAGAGGAAAGCAGAGAGATATGGAGACGGAGACCTAGGGACGCAAAGAGAATAGAAGAGGGCTTCCCTGGTGGCGCAGTGGTTGAGAGTCCGCCTGCCGATGCAGGGGACACGGGTTCGTGCCCCGGTCCGGGAAGATCCCACATGCCGCGGAGCGGCTGGGCCCATGAGCCATGGCCACTGGGCCTGCGCGTCTGGAGCCTGTGCTCTGCAATGGGAGAGGCCACAACAGTGAGAGGCCCGCGTACCGAAAAAAAAAAAAAAGAGAGAATAGAAGACAGAGACAAAGAAAGAAACAAAAATGACCAGAGAAAGAGCGGAAGGGCAATGAATGGGGAAGTGAGGCACTGGAAGACCGAAACTCTCCCCCATTTCTCATCCCTCTCATTGGACTGTTTCTTTGTCTTGCATTTCCTCCCTCTGGGGTGGGGATAGCGGTCCCAGGCATGGGGCCTCGCAGCTTGGGACTGGACTTGACAAGCTGACATCTGCTGACAGTAGCTTTTCTCAAGGAGCAGGCATCTCAAGTTTCATTGAGCTGGAGTCAGATAGAAGGAGGCTGGCCCCGCTAGCCATGCGCAGAGGTGACCTGGAAGGCCCTAGCCTGAGTGGAGTCTCCCCAAGGTCACCCAGAAGCTGGGACATGCTCTGCTGAGTATGGGCCTGGCTGGAGGGAGGCTTATAGGTGGCACCCACATGGGGTGGTGGCTCCCTAATCCCCACACTGTTCCCACCACAGGCCAAGCACAGAGTCTGCCCCAGGGCCCAGGCAGGGACGCAGAGGTGGAGGGGGGAAAGGAGAGATTCAGAGGTCCTGAGAAAGAAAGATGGAGAGATGCGAAAGAGAAACACATGACAAAGAGAAAGAGACAGACAGAGATAGAGAGATACATAGAGATCCTGAAAACCAAAGATTGGGAGTGAGAGAGACAGAGAGACAGAGGAGGAGAAAGAGAGGAACTGAGAAAAGGGGAGAGATAAGAGATGCCCAAAGAGAAGGAAGACAAGGAGATGCTAAAGTCAAGATGGAAATTAAGAGAGGCACAGAGCTGAAGAGAGACAGAGATCTGAAAGGACAAAAAGAGAACCAGAGAGAAGCCTCAAGAGAAGAAACAGAGACAGGCAGGAAGGGAGACAGTCACAAGGATTCAGCCAAAGACAGAGATTGAGAGAAATAGAGTCCGAATTATAGAGCAACAGAGAGAAACAGAGACAAGAATTTATATTGTCTAAGAGTAAATGACAAACTTGAGATTAGATTTGTAATGTGGAACCAAATGAATTAAAAGGGAAGTATAGGGCTTCCCTGGTGGCGCAGTGGTTGAGAGTCTGCCTGCCGATGCAGGGGACACGGGTTCGTGCCCCGGTCCGGGAAGATCCCACGTGCCGCGGAGCGGCTGGACCCATGAGCCATGGCCGCTGAGCCTGCGCGCTCGGAGCCTGTGCTCCGCAACGGGAGAGGCCACAACAGTGAGAGTCCCGCGTACCACAAAAAAAAAAAAAAAGGGAAGTATAATATTTTAACCATAAGCACCCCAATGTTTACTGCAGCACTATTTACAATAGCCAGGTCATGGAAGCAACCTAAATGCCCATCAACAGAAGAATGGATAAAGAAGATGTGGTACATATATACAATGGAATATTACTCAACCACAAAACTGGGTCATTTGTAGAGACATGGATGGACCTAGAGACTGTCATACAGAGTGAAGTAAGTCAGAAAGGGAAAAACATCTTATATTAACGCATATATGTAGAATCTAGAAAAATGGTACTGATGAACCTGTTTGCAAGGCAGAAGTAGAGACACAGATGTAGAGAACACACGTATGGACACCAAGGAGGGAAAGGGGGGTGGGATGAATTGGGAGATTGGGATTGACATATATACACGTATATGTATAAAATAGATAACTAATGAGAACCTGCTGTATAGCACAGGGAACTCTACTCAATGCACTGTGGTGACCCAAATGGGAAGGAAATTCAAAAAAGAGGGGATATATGTACACACATAGCTTATTCACCTCGCTGTACAGCAGAAACTAACACACATTGTAAAGCAACCATACTCCAATTAAAAAAGAGAGAGAGAGAGAGAAACAGAGACAGAAATAGGGATGAAGAAAGCCATGCATTCATTCAGCAACATTTACTGAGTGCCAACTGTGTGCTGAGCACTATTTTACGTGCTGGGGATACAGAAGTGAACAAGACAAAATGCCTGCTCTTGAAAAGAGCCTGAGAAAGAGGATCCATCGGAGAGGCTGGGGTGGGAGTTGGGGGAGGGGGTGGCGAGGGCATGCTTGCTGCAGCCCTGCTGTCTGCAGAGTCAGTGCCTCTGAGCAGTGCCCTGCCCCTCAGCCCCTGCCAGTCACCAGGCAGACAAAGGCTGACAGGTAGGGAGACGTGCTACACAAACAGGCAGGAAGACGGGAAAGCAGAGACAGAGGGAGATTAAGGTAAATACAAGCTGGAAGAGGCAGGGAGAGAAAAAGACACATTGAAAAGAGAGAGCGCACGAGAGAGAAGACAAACATGAACAGAGGTAGGCACTGAGAGTGAAACAGAGAGAGAGAGAGAGAGAGAAATGGGAAGAGAGAGAAAGAGAGAGAGATGAACAGAGAAACACAGAGACTGAGGGTGAGAGAGACACTCCCAGAGACAAGCCCTGTCCCAGACTCTGCACAGCTCCCCCACCGTCTCCCCAGGTCTGGGCCCTGTGCCAGGTACCTGGCGGAAGGCTGGATCCGGCACGGCAGGGTGGGCGGCAGGGTGGGCCGCATTCCTGAACAGTCTGTTCCAAGTACAGACTCAGCCACAACCCCCGCCCCTGGACCATCGTGGCCTGGCATCAGGCGGGGGTGCCCACTGAGGAGTCTAGGGGACTGGAGACCAGGGGTGTAGCAGCATAGGCATAGGACATTTGGGGCATCTGGGAGCCAGAGCATTGGGAATAGAGATGGCAGGAGTTCAGGGCAGGGCCTAAGTGTGGAAATACAAGGGTGTCAACCGTGGGAAGGCAGCCAGGAGTCATACGAAAGGCATGGCAGTGCCAAGCTGATGGGCACCAGGACGCTAGGGGACTTGAGTGAGCATCTGGGAGACATGTATGGCATACAGAGCTCCAAGAGCAATGGGTGTGGAAGTGACAAGGGCTCAGGTGCGAGTCCCCAGGAATCACAGGCACAGGGCACAGCAGTGCCAGGCGAATGGACACATCACCAGGAGCGCTCTAAGAAGTGCATTTAGCAGTCAGGATGTTTTGAGTTATCAGAAGTACAAGGTACAGCGTTCAGTGGTCATAGGCCCAGAGGTGTCCAGGGGATTAGGAAGGCACAGCTACAGGCCAAGTGAGACGGACCCACAGGTGCTGGGGGTTCAAGAGGGTGCACCTGTTGACCAGGTATGCTGACATGAAAATGCTAGTGCATTAAGGCTACCAAATAGGACAGGCTGAGGCAGGCACACACACACAAAAAAAGGCCAGGAGGAGCCAAGGCCAGCAGTGATAGGGCTGGGGGCGGGGTGCAGACTTTGGGTTGGGGAATTACAGAATGAGCATCCCAAAGGCGGCCACCCCTCCCACTTTCAGTCTCCATCCCTGCTCCACCCAAGACCCCAAGGGAATCAAAGAGAGGCGAAGAGGTGCAAGCAGCCAGGCGGGGTTGGGGTGCACCCGGCGCTCAGACGCAGGCGGCCCTACCCCTGGGCCCGTACCTCTCCCGCTTCGGCGGAACTTGCTGCAGCTCGAGTCTGGACACCTGGACCGTGCACTCACGGAGGTAGCCCCGACAGTGGGTGGGGTAACAGGATTCTGGATTCCTGGCGGTGGGGCTGGGGGCTAGAACTCCTGGTTCTCTGAATGAAGACAGAGCTGAGGGCTCGGACCCCGAGTCCTGACAGAGGGTGAGGGGCCTGGAGTCCTGCCTTCTGGGAAAGGAGACTGGGGGTGGGAAGTTAGATCTGGAGGGAAAAGGGGCAGTGGCCCTGAGCTCCTGGTTCAGGGCGGAGTCTCGCTGCACCCCCACCCCCCACCCCCGACTCCCGGGTGCCAAGGGAGGGGGAGCCTGGGGCGGGTAGTCTGGTCCCAGGGGATGGGGAGCGGAGAGGTCTGTTCTGGCTCAAGGCTGGGGAGCTGCTGAGGGCCCAGATACCTAGTTCTGAGGGTGCAGGGGGCTGGGGACCTGGACTTCTAGATTTTGAGGGAAGGCGGTGGGGCTGGACTCCTGGGTCTGAAGGAGAAGGGAGCTGGGGGCCGGGCTCTTGGGTCTCAATGGCGGAGGGGTCAGGAGCCCAGACCCGGGCCCGCTGAGCACCGGCTCCGTGTAGCTCCCTGGCCGCTGGGGTCCGGTGTTCACCATGTGGCTGGGCCCGCGCCCTGCAGTGGTGCCGTGCAGCTACGCAGCGCAGCGGGACGCATTAGTGCTGCAAGCGGATGCCTTCTCCGGCCGCGGGGCCAGGGCAGCCTTCGAACGCTTCACACGCGGAAACGGTGAGGCCTGGTCGGCGGAAGTGCGGGCCGGGAACGTCCAGTTTGCGATACAGAGCGAGACCGGGGGAAATGGAGCCGGGCCTAATAGAGTCAAGGCTTCTGAGGAGAGGTTGGGGAGGAGCCACAGTGTAGGGGTCGAATGGCGGTGGCGGAGGCTGGATCCTTGTGCAGCCAGTAGAAGAGAAGAGCCTAAGAGTCAAGGCCAAAGAGAGCCAGCACGGGGATGAGGAATCGGGACCAGCAGAGGTGCGGCCAATGTGCGGATAGGGCCGAGAAGGCTGGGGTAGCAACCAAAAGACCTGGAGCTGAAGCAGAGCGAAGAGTTGCGAGGAAGTCGACTCCACTACGGGATGCTTCCGGGATGGGGCGTGGCTAACTCCCCGGCCCGTCCCCTTCTTTGTTCCACTCCCCCAGGCATCGTGGCTTTTAACGGACAGCGCTGCCGGACGCTGCGCAATTTTGCACTTGGAGCACTTAAGGAGTTCGGCTTGGGTACGCGGACCATCGAGGACCGTGTCCTGGAAGAGGCGCCTTGTCTGCTTGGCGAATTTCAAGACAGCGTTGGTACGGCCTGGTCGGAAAAGGATAGGGACCTGTTGTGGGTGTGCCCTAGGGAAGGCGTTTGGGTGGAATGAAGCCAGTAAACCCAAGAGCTGGGTGGGGGCCGAGCCACAGCGTATGACCTTGTCATGTTCCCACTCCCAGGAGCTCCGTTCGACCCCCGGCGGCTACTAGATAATGCTGTATCTAACGTTATGTGTTCCGTGGTCTTTGAGAACCGCTATGGCTACGAGGACCCAGAGTTCCTGAGGCTCCTGGACCTTTTCAATGACAACTTCTGCATCATGAGTTCCAGATAGGGTGAGGTGAGAGGGTTGGCCCCCATCCCTCCCTCGTGTGCCCAATCTATGCCAGATTCCGAGTACATGGACCTACCTACATTGGATCATTAGAATGGGGCAGTCTTAGAATCTTGGAATGGAAGAGTTTTAGAACCTACAACATCAAAGTCCTGGTCCAGTCTCCCCATAGGGAAACGAATGGTCTTGTTCAAGGTCCTATTGATTTCCTGTCCCCCCAGATGTACATTTTCCCCTCCCTCCTAAAATGGCTCCCAGGCCCACACCACGGAATCTTCTGAAACTTAGCAGAGCTTAAGAGTTTTCACCTCTCAGCAAACCCAGCAGCAACCGGCAGCCCGGGGAACCCCGCAATTTCGATTGCTTCCTGATCAAACGGATAAGGTACAGGGCCCTGCTGCCCACCAGCAGACGCCTGGCTCCTCTACCCACAGAAGGACCCGGAGAGCCATTTCCAGGAGACATTGGTGATGACGACGCATAACCACTTCCTTGGCAGTACCGAGGCCACAAGCACCACCCTGCGCTATGGACTCCTCATTCTGTTCAAATACCCAGAGGTGGTAGGCTTCTGAGCTGGACAGCTAGGGATGAGGCGGCTAGGGTTGTGGGTTGGCTGGAGGCTGGGGTAGTTCACATCTCTGCCGGCCCCAGCCAAAGCGCAGGCGGAGCTGGATCCCGTGGTAGGCCGAATGTGGGCCCCAAGCCTGGAGGACTAAGAACGCCTGCCCTACACCGACGCCACGCTGCAGGAGATCCAAAGCGTCTTCAGCGTGCTACCGCTGGAGCTGCCGCGTGCCCTCACCTGTGATGCCCACCTGCGCAGCCACTTCCTGCCCAAGGTGGCCACCAAGACTGGGGATCCTGCGCAGGGACTGGAGAGGGCCTATTAACAGAGATCAGCAGGCCTAAGCGTCCAGAGCACTGACTCTGGGAGCAAGAAAGCAGGCGGCCTTCCTTGCCGCTGACTTCGAAATGGGGTCTTGGATGGATGTGTGGAATAGTCACTTGCCAATTTTTCAAGCAACCCTTGCACATCTCCCCAGGGCACCTTCATGATTCCTCTCCTTGTGTCTGCACACCAGGATCTCACCCAATTTAAGGACCCAGACTGTTTCAATCCCACCAACTTCCTGAATGACAAGGGTGAGTTCCAGAGCAACAACTCCTTCATGCCCTTTGCCCCAGGTCTGGGCTGGGCAGAGGGGACCAGCCTGGACGTGCCATGGGGTGCATGGGTTTCTCATTCCACACCCCCATGTCCCCAGGAAAGCAATGTGCCTGGGTGCAGGCCTGGCCCGATCCGAGGTCTTCCTCACCTCCATTCTACAGCAGTTCTGCCTGCTCCCCGTGGGGAGCCCCGCCAACATCGACCTCACCCCACAGTGCACGGGCCTGGGCAACGTGCCCCCAGCCTTCCACCTCTGTCTGGTGGCCCGCTGAAGTCAGGTTCAGCCACCCTCTGCTCACTGGCTCTCAGACCTCCTTACCCTCTTTGGTCAATAAAGGCCCTGAATTGCAGACGGAGGGATCTTCTTACCAACAGGGAGTGAGTCAGTCAGATGTGTGCAGCTCTGAGGTAAACTTTTATTTCTTGGCTGACAGGACTTGCAGACCCATGCTCCTCCCAGCACCTTTTATCCTGCCCAAGCAGCGGCAGCCTAGTCCAAAAGGTGCCATGGCCAAAGGGGTTGGGGAGTCACTTCACATTCCAGGCTGGAGGAGTGGGGGGCTTGGGGATACTCCCCCACAAACCTTTGCCAGCAAGAGGCCATGACTCACCCCAACCCCAAATCCTGCATTCTGGTGGGAGGTGGCAGTGCTTCCTTCCAGCTCTCCAAACCTGAGAGGGGCATGCATGACCAGACAGGGCAGGACACAGGCCCCCAGCTCCAGTAATGGCAGTCCCCAACACCAGCCTCTGCCCAGGTCACAACCCCAGCCCCCAGCCCAGGGCAGCAGAGGTCTCTCCTCCTCCTTGGTTCTCAGCGATGGATGGAGCCCTCCACACCAGGCAGAACAGAGGCAAAGTCAGAAGCAGCGGCAGTGGCGGGGCAGGAGCAGGCACCGTGACTGGCGGCACCAGGGCCCAGGGCTCTCCCGAAGTCAGGCAAGCTGTCTGTCCGTGCAGCTCTGGGGCTAGCCACTAGGTGGGCGTAGTCGGCTGTGATACAGGTACTTGGACACCCTTCTGTCCTGATGCTGGGGGTGAAGGGGGACAGGAGACTGAGTCATCAGGGACGGAACTAAGAGACCAAGGAAACCTGGGAAGAAGGGGAGATGACCAGAAGAGATGGGGCTCATGCTGGGGAATGCCAGGAGAGTGAACTGTCTAGGGATGGTAGGCAAAGATGAGGAAAAATGAGCGACAGGATCCAGTGAGAGACTGAAGAGGCGGCTTGAGACCCAGGGAGGTACACGGAAGAGGAGGGACCTGAGGGAGGGGACACTGGGAGGCCGGTACCTAGCTGATACTTGTCTTTGGCTGCTGCTCGCTCCTTGGCATCAAAATACCAGACAGTGATGGCGTACCTGGAGACCAGAGCAGCCCCAGAGGGTGGTTAGAGATCACTTTTCTTCAATTCCAGCCACTATATCCACCCCGAGCCGCCCCCTCTTGGCACGCCATCACTTCCTAGTCACTTCAGGGGTCTGACAAGACTTTGCTGGCACAGGGGGAGCACCTGGGCACATTCCCGGAAGTATGGACCATACCTGGTGGCATAGGCTGGTTTCACCTCATGGGGGTTCCGCCGATCAGACCAGAAAATGAGCAGCCGGTCAAAGAGTGGCTCAATGTTGGCTACCACGGGACGGCCCTCAGGGAATATCTGCAGTAGGCCGCCATGCACCTGAAGGCAGGCCAGAGGATGAGGCAGGCTGGGAGCCCTGCCTAGAGCCCCTGCCTTGCACTGCCGGCCCCCAGGAGCCCACCAGGGGGCATAATAACTTCACACATCACTCCCTCCCACCACTCAGGCTCTCAAAATGAATGACAACCCAGAGTCTGCATCACCATGGAGATGGGCAGGAAGCTACTTAAGAAGACAGGAAATGGGGCGGGGGAAGTGCTGGTTAGGCTGGGGGCTGGGCAGACAGCACCATTCCCCAAAGAGGGGGAACTGCTGCCACACAGTCAGCTGAAGAGGAGGTCCCATTTCCCAGAAAGAGCCATTGGGCACATTCCACCGCCCCCCTCCCGTGGGTTGGGAAGAGGAAGGGGACAATGCTAGAAGCTGAGCTGGGAAAGGAAAATGCGATGGATGCACGCCACCCCACCCCCAACATCCTACCTTGACGTCCCAGTTCTGATTCAGGTAATAGATGCAGGTGATGCAGCGCCCATCGCCATGGGGATTGTCAACGTGTCTCACGTACCCCAGCCCGTTACCTGGGTAACATGCCACCATGGCCTGGCAGAGACGGATGGAGAGGGTTTACTGAGGCTAACTGGCAGGGACGTTAGAGAAGCAGCCATCACCTCCTCTTTCTCACCCCTCCCGGACCCTCATCTTTCCTCAGGTGTCCTGGGCTCCAAGGGTTCCAGCACCCAGACTTTCTCCTTTTCTCCTTTTTCAGCCAAGCCTCCATCCACAAGAAACCTCAGCTCCTGGGCCTCAACAGCCCAACACACACACACACACCTCACGCCCCTACCCCCCCGCATCTGGTGCCAGCATGCAGCTCAGTGAGCAACTGAGGGCTTGGTTTTTTAAAGATAACCTGACCCCACGTCAGACATTTCACTAGGATAAAAGCAATTTAAACATTTCCTGGTGTGCAGGGATGTGGCCTCACAGCCCCACACCAGGAGTTCTCTCCTTGAGCTGTAGAGTTGGAATGACCTGGGGCACTGATACCGAGGCCCACCTCAGAGGTTCTGACGTACATGGTCTCAGGTGGAGCCTGGAATTTTTAAAGGTTCCCCAGGTAATCCTGACGTGCAGCCATGTTGAGAACCACTGACCTTACTATAAAGAAGACCCGCTAAATAATCTGCCTCCTACACAACTGAACAGGTACCAAAACCCAGAATGTGCCCAGAACCTGAGATCTAATCCCAACTCCAAGCAAAACCTGCCAAGTAGCCTTGGACAGTCTCATCACCTGAATGGGCCTCAAAACACCTCATCTGTAAAAGGGGGCTAATGAAAACCTGCCAAGTAGCCTTGGACAGTCTCATCACCTGAATGGGCCTCAAAACGCCTCATCTGTAAAAGGGGGCTAATGAAAACCTTCGGTTTACAGCAGTAGCACGAACCCCTCCGAGAACATGACTTTGGAGGCTCCTGACCCCCATAGATCTGAGTCAGACCTTGTTCCAGGTCTCGGCTTCTGTGTGCACAGGTCTAGCCACAGGGTTCTCGCCTCCTCTCCTGGATAGCTGCCACTGCCCTAGGCAGCCCTGGCCATTCTGAGTCCTGGGTCTAGCCACTCCGGGCCTGTTTCTCATCAGGTACCCAGCAAACTGATGGATGTGATGTGAGGAAAAGGGCCCAGGTGTTCCTGCAGACCTATCTCCTGGGTTCAAGTCTCAGTGCGGCAACATAAGCTGTGATGTTTGGCAGATGACGGAACTTCCCCATCTCCAGTTCCTCATCCACGAAATGGAGCTAACAACTACCTTTTTGGAGATTTTGCCAGTTTTGCTCAAGGGTGGGGTGGGGTGGGGAAAGGGGTCCAGTGCTGCAACCTCTTCCCGCACAACCCATCCCCACAGCAGCCAGAGGCCCTTTACTCCAGCTCACCACTGCTCAAACCCCTTCAAGTTCCTCGCTGCATCCCAAGAGAACACAAACTCCTGACCACAGCCTCCAAGGCCACTAGCCTCATACACTATCTCCAGCCTCGAAATCCTCCTCTCTTCTCTGACCAGGCCAAGCTCATCCTCAAGGCCTCTGCACCTGCCTGAACGCTCTTCCACTCGTCCCCCTTGTTATTCAGGTCTCAGGGCCAGGAGCACCTCGAGTCCTCTAGCTGAAGGCACCTGGGCTGATTTCCCATTCCATCCCTCTCAGTGCAAAATCAGCACAGGTACCTGTTTACCTAATACTGGCCGCTAGGGCCAGGCCTGTCTCCCTAGTGCCAAGGAGGGAGCTGCTAATTAAAAGCGCTCCTCTGGGTCTCAGGGCCTCCATTCCATCCTTCCCGTGCATCCTCACAGGGTCTCTGTAGTCTGTCAGGGAATGGGACTCCTGTGTGTGTGAAGGTAGGCACAGGAACAGGCCCTTTAAGGCCCCCCTCCCCCCACATATACTCACCTGGGAGTGGGGCTGGGGGTGGCATCCTCCGGCCCCCGAGAAGCATCTACTTCCTGCCCCCACAAGGGAAGGGACAACAACCAGAGTAACACGGAAACTTGCTCCTCACACTTCCATCTCCAGGAAGGGGCAGCTAGGATCACTGTGCATGCACACCCCACCCCCCCCAACCAGAATCCCAGGTCTCAGCCAACAGCAGCAGGCCCCACCTCCAAACTGCTCTTAAAGGGGCCTCCCGGGGTCACCTATGGTAGTCCTTGATGCCAATGGGAGTCAATTCCCTCCCACCTGCAGGCCAACTGAGCAGAGGATCTAGGGAGAGGAGGAAGGCAAGAGCACAGGAGCGGCGCTCGGGACCAAGAGGCAGGTTGTTACCAGCCCAAACCACACTGGTGATCTGAGCCCCCACCCCCCACGCCGCTACCGTGACCACCCCACACTGTCTTACTCCAGAGCTTGGGGAGGGAGCCCAGATGTTGCCCTCTGAAGGCGAGGAAGCCTGCAGTTGCTGCCTCACCGGGGCAGGGGAGGGTCTGAGAGGAACTCCAGTGGCTGGGTTGGCTCTTCCCCTCCCTTCTTAGTCCAGCCAGGCTTGTTCTTACCTCCCAAGGCTAAAAAGTCTCAACACCCACCCCACCACCCCTCCAGGGCCTGCTCCCAACCACATCCAAGGCACCAAAGGAAAAGAGATCTGCGCCCTCTCCCCTCCCCTTCCCTCCTGAAATGGCCACAGCCTAGCTGGGGAGTTAACCTGGTTTTCCTATCCTGTGGATGAGCAGAGGCTCAGAGAAGCATCCTGCCCTTGGCCACTCAACTCTTGTGGTCTCCCCACCAACCTCCCTCCTGTGAGGATGGGTGACCCTGGGGAGATGGGGCTGAACACCCTGTGGCTAGGGAGATTCCCACTGATCTCTCCTGCCCCTGGGAGGGGCCGCCTCTGGCCCTCCAGCTACCAAAGTAACAGGAGGGAGAGGGAAGCAGGACAAGTTCCAGCTGGGGCGGGGAAGCCAGTATGGCTTCGGCCCGGGGGAGCCCTAGTCCCCGAGCCAGCTCCAGCCTGAGACGGAAGCTGCAGAGACAGAACCCAAGACGGGATCTGAGGGAGGAGGGAGAGGACATCAGGAGCACAGCCTCATGCCTGCAGGGCAAAACATAGTCTGTGCCATCAGCCAGGCATCACTGGTGCTGTGCAGTGGGCACTCCCTACCGGGCCTTGTCCTAACACCGCCAAACCCTGGACTCAAGGCCAGGATCCTCACACCCCTCCACGAGGAGAATTAACACGTCAGCAGGCCAAAAGGCCCTACGGACTACCGTCCTGTGCAGGCTCCTAACCCCAGGTTCTTGAATGGGCGGCTGCAGGCCCAGAAGGCCCTTATCACTGACCATAAACTCCAATCAAATGAGCATTTTTTTAAGACAGGGTCTGTGGTTTCTGGCAGATTCTTAAACAGGCCCAGGTTCCAAAAAAAAAGATAACTGCTACTCTAAAACAAGAGAAAGGGACCAAGAAAAGATACAACGGCAGAGGATCAAGGAAAACAGACCAGAGCCAGACAAGGATAAAGTGATGGAGAGACAGAACAGACAGGATTGAGGACAGGGTCTAGGATGGGGAGGGATGGGAAAGATGGGGACATAACCTCCACCTGGGCCGGCACACAGACACCCCCAGAAAGCCGTCCATGATGCAAATGCCACAGTATGGCCAACAGTGCACAATGTAGCCCAGCACCAAGCACAGTGGGCAGTGCCTCCTCCCTCAGCCCGGCATTGGCCTCACCACTGCCCCCCTCCCCGTTCCACCTTCTGGTTCTCCTACCCGGGAGACAGAACAGACAGACCAAAGACAGGCAATGGACAGGATGGACTAGACATACCCAAGTACATGAAAAAATAAGGGAACAGGGAAGAACAAAGACAGGGGCAGACAGACAGGTACAGACGGCAGAGGCAGAAACCCGTGCCTGTCTACAATGAACATTCTTGGTCTAGGATCCAGGAACAGACATCAGGCGGCTGTGAACCCCACCATGGCCCATGCACAGATGTGGGACTATGACTGTCGGCACCTCTCCTCAGGTTCTTCAAGAGGATCCCTGGCAAGGTCAAGAACCATGGTGACTACAGGCCAAACCCATGGTTTACAGGTACACAAACTAAGGCCACAGGGAGTGAGAGCCCAAAGTGAGCTCCAACAGTCCCTGTGCCAGAGCTGCCTAAACTCTTTTGTGACCCCAGAAGCCTATCTCCAAACCCACTGGTGCTCAGAACACTAGGCATCCAACAAGTGCTGGGCAGCCCCCCACCCCACCACCCGGTCCCTGCAGCCTCACCTTGGTGCGCCCATTGATGACGTAGCTGCCCAGCCTCCCAGCACAGTGGCGGATTACAGCATCCACGTGGGCCATGAGGGCACCGATGCTTCGGCAGCCTGGCTCATGGCCTTCCACCCAGGCAATCTGGTCCCCACGGATGCTGCGTGGCGGGATAGCCCGCTGGCTCACTAGCTGCCCATCACGCAGGCGCCCGCCCCGCTTCAGGGCCTCCACCTCTGCCAGCACTCGGCCACCCAGCGCCGCCCCCAGGAAGCTGTCCTTGACGCAGATGCCATAGTACCGCATGCAGGGCACAATATAGTCCAGGGCCAGGCGCTCGGGTGCAGCGGGCAGCACCTCCTCCCTCAGCCCGGCGCTGGCCTCACCACTGCCACTGCTGCAGCCCTCCCCCTCTGCCTCTGCCTCCTGGTTCTCCTGCCTGGCCCAGGGCCGCTTGCTGGGGGCGGGGGCATCCCCACCATCCTCTGCCCATTTCCGTTTGGGGGCCTCGGGCCGGGCGCCCTGGGCTGCCAGTCGCTGGCACCCCTTGGTGACCAGTGCCGCAGCACCCTCACTCTGCAGCGGCCGCAGCTCGCCGCCATCCTGCCCACCGAAGCCCTCCCGCAGGGGGCTGGCTGTGGTGGAAGTAGCTGTAGCTCTGGGGGTCCCACTCCCCGCCGAGGCCTCACCAGGCCCTCCTGGACGGTGGTAGGAGGACAGCAGGGGACAGGGCAGGTAACTCTCCACCCCCATCCTGGCCCTGCTAGGCTCCAAGGGCTCTGACACCGAACCCGGCAACTGAGGGAGAGCCTGACTCAGGGGCTGCGGCTGGCACGGGCTGTCCATGGCAGCAGTGTCTTCATCCCCCGGGCATGGAGGGCACGGCCCAGGCCCATGGTGCCACCCTCCTACACCTCCTCCTCCTCCACTTGATGCAGCCGGGGGCCGGGGCGGCTGGGCCTGGCGTGGGGCAGGATGAGGCAGGGCAGATGGCAGAGGCTTTTCTCGTGCCCTGGGGGTGCTTGCTGGTCCCCAAGTCCTCTGCTGTCCCTAGGGGCTTGGGAAGGGACCTGTCACGGTGGCTGGAGAGAGAAGCAGAGAGAGAGAGAGAGAGAGAGAAAGGAATGTGAGAAGAGCTACAGGGAAGAGGGCTGGGCGAGGGTGGGGAGTGGCAGGGGCAGTAGACAGTTAGACTTACCTACAAAGACCCCAAAACCTGAGGCCACGTGGAGAAAAAGACTCTGGGACTTGGGTAGAATCACTAAGAGACAAGGGGCAATAAGGGGGCAGCTGGAGGGGTGAGACAGGGTAGCTGACCCACAGGCAGAGGACTGCAGTGGGAGCTGTGGGCGAGAGACACCCTCAGACAGACACAGACCCACAGACAGAAAAGAAGGAGGGGACTTTAAGTAGAAAAGGATGGCGGTGTGGGAAGTAGGAGAGTTAGAAACAAACAGACTGGGGGGGGGGCGAGAGGGGGGATCTGCCTGGAAGACACAGAGGGAATGTGGGGATCTACAGACCGTGGAAACTGGGGGGTCCAGAGACAGAAACACACACCGGAGAAGAGCAGGGAGGGTGGGCCTGAGACAGCCGGGCAGAACCCAGCCCAACAGGAGGAAGCCCGTTAGGGGCTGACACACACCCAGACGGAAGGGAGGTCCTGAGACAGACAGACGGAAGGGACCCGTGGGAGCAGGGTCCACAGCGACAGAGGGAAGGGTGGAGGAGGACTCATGCACTCGGGGAAAGGACGACGGAAAAAGCGCCCCCCTCCCAAGTCCCTTCGGTGCGGGTCCTGGGGCCCCTCGGGGCACAGCAGGAGACGAAGACAAGGCCTAAGGGCCGCTGGAACCCCGTGTCCCCACCCCTCCCCTCCCCCTCCGCCCGCTCCCTGCTCCCCCCCAACCCCCCCAACGGCCGGCGCTTAACATGCCCGGCGCGCGTTCCCTCCCCCACGCCCCACCCCCACCCTCCCCTCCCCAGGGTCGCCAGGCTTCGCCACAGAGTGCTGGGCGCGCGCCCCCGCACCCCGCCCGGCTCGCGCCAGCGCCCGGCCTCAAGCGCCTTCTCCGCCCCGCTCCATGCCCTCCCCGCGGTCTCCTCACCGAGGTTTTTCCTCCGGCCCCGGCGCCGCCGTTTGTGCCAGCCGCCCTGCGCCGCACAGCGCGCCATACCCCGCCCCCACCACCGGCGACGCTCCGCCCCCGCCTCGCCCGGTGGGCACGTGACCGCATCCGGGCGTAGGAGACCAGGCTTGCGCAGGCGCGAGCCGCGCGGGGCGGGGCGAGGAAATTCAGAACACCCTCTCCCTCGAGAAAGGGGAAACGGATCAGTCGCCGACACAAGGTTTTTATGCACTCTCCGCTCCGCCCCTTCTGCGCGAGAGGAGGAACGCAGTTAGGAAGGGCTGGATCCGGTGGGGGAGTTTCGGCACATATTATGCCAAGCGAGTGGGAGGGGTATGCAAATAATCTATTTACATAGACAGGACCGCCCCCTTGGAGCCGAGAACGCGGCGGAACGATGAGTAGCAGGGTAGGGGAGGCATACAGATCATCGGTATTATTTACATGGACAGCTCCTCCTTCTCACAGCCCAAGAATAGGAATATTGAGAAACGTCTGAGCAATTAGTTGGGAAATGTATGTAAATTTGCACGACAGTAAGTAATTTACATAAGGACTTTTTATAACGGAGGAAAAGAAGAGCGGAACGTCCTTGAGAGAAGGGAAGAACAAGAAGGGACGTGCAAACATTCTGACTCGCTCCACCCTGCCCCATCGGGACAACTGTGTGGCACCCGAATAAAACAACCTAGGAAAGCTACTCAGAGAAGACATTTGCATGACAGCCTCGAGTCTCTGGACGACCTGACCTGGGAGGACTATGCAGATGAGGTCATTTAAATGCCCCACCCCCTCCGCCAGCACCCAGGCTGAGCAGGGACTCAGGCCTCCCGTGAGGGTGGTTTAAGGCCAAACTGGGGTTGGGAGAGCAGTTGGGAGCGTCCTCAGTGGGCTGCACCTGTCCCTGGCAGAGCATGTGCAGGTGTCAGAGGTTCACCTGGACACAGGAGGCAACACACTGATCTCAAATATGCACAGGAGTCCCGGTGACACAAAAGCCCACAAAGTTCATGGTCACACACAAGTGTATCAAAGGAGTCAAATTCACAGCAAAACACACACAGACCTCAGGGGCACACAAACACAGTTACACACCAAATAGACACTGCCTCAGACTTTCAGGCATCAGACATGCATAGCTATCACCCACCGGGCCCAGACCCAGGGCTCAACTACAGGCCTGAATTCTCATTCCCTAGCTTTGGTGTCCCAAACAACGCCAGTCTTACAGACACAATCACCAAGGACACAGAGTAGTCATAAGCAACAGTGTCACACACACAAGCAGCACACATTCCTACAGATCCCATCACACCCATCGCAAACACAGGGACATTAGTGTTACGTTACGTATGTGGGCAAACTCCCTCTACAACGTACATCTGAGTCATGGTGGACCCCCGTACCATGTCCAACCCAAAAACATGGCCCCCAAACACCGTCAGTGACCTCTTTTCCCCCCCCACCACCCCAAAATGACAGAGGCTATGACACAGGTGTAAACAATGCTTTATGGGGGTGGGGTGGGGATGGGACAGGCCTCCAGGTAAGGTAATAAATAACACGTACTCGCAGTGGCAGGGCCAGGGGAGCTGAGGCCAAATGGCCCTGGTCTCGGGCTTTGGAAACTCTTTGAGTATAGTTAGGGGTTCAGGGGGAAGAGGGGTTAGCCAAGACAGAGGAAGCAGCAGCAGGTACGGATTCCCCCTTCCCCCGTGGCTCAGTCTTGCCCCTCAGCCAGGCCCCACCAGGCCAGGGAAGGGGGACAGGTGGCAGGGCAGCTTCTCTGGGGCCAGGTCAGGTAAGGGGCTCAGTCTCCCAGGGCCTGGGTCTGGGCCCCAGCCAGAAGGACAGGGCTGGTCCTGGAGAACGGGTGAGCTGAAAGAAAAGTGTGCCGTGAACTGGAGGGATCTTGGGTCTGTCGGCTGGTGTCTCTGTCTCATTTCTGGGTATCTTCCTGCCCGCCTAACTGTGCCTGTCTGTCCATACTTTTCTCTTTCTCCCAAAGTTTCTACATTGTCTGACTTTCTGTTTCTTGTCTGCAGGTACTTTGGGGCTCTAGAGCTGAGGGCACGTGCATCTCCCTGTTTACTTGCCTCAGAGAGCTGTCTCCTTGAGTCTGTAGAGGGGCATCTCAGTGTCTACATTCTGTGTCCCCACCTTTGCACCTCTGTGTTCCTCTATGTTCCTGGATCATCCAGGCTCTAGGTCTCATTCCCGTGTTTTCCAAACCGAGGAGACACATCACTTCCTGTTTTGTAGTTATCTGCAGATAGCATTACCTGGGAGCTTCTAGAAATCCCCAGATCACTTCAGAATCTCTGGGGTAAGGCCTGGGCATCAGTATCTTTTAAAGCTCTCCAGGTGATTCCAATGTGTACAACTGCATTAGTGGGTTGGGAAATCAGTTTGGTGGGCCTTGAGCAATTGTTGTAACAGAATAAAATAGAAAATACCATAAAAATTAAAATGTTAACGTATTAAAAAAAAAAAAGAAAAGAAAGAAAATTTCAGAGTGCTTCATATGTTGGTCCATAGAGACAGAAAGCAGATGGGTGGGGGCCAGACGCTGGGGAGGATGGAGAATGAATGCTTAAAGGGTATGGGGTTTTCTTTTAAGGGTGATGAAAATGCTTTGAAACTCGACAGAGGTGGTGGTTGCATAACCTTGCGAATGTACTAAATGCCACTGAATTGTACGCTTTAAAATGGCTAAATTTGTTGTGTGAATTTCACCTCAATTTTAAGAGAAAGAATATTAATACAAGAAGGTGTTTTAGTTTTATACGTGTGTGACTGTATTAGATCAACAAATAAAGTATATTTCCTCCTGTAGAGTGCAATCAACAGAGTTTGAAAATGCAGTCTTACTACATTTGATTCACTGAGGGAACACCCTGAAACAGACTCAAAACTAAGCTCTGAGGCGAAGAGTACACACCCATCTGATTCTACATAGCCCAGAGTCTTTAAAATGGATACGAAGAAGAAAAATAATAAACAGGCCTCGTTTATCAAGTCTTAGTTTACTGACTGCCAGGCCCTGTTCTAAGCACTTTACATGAATTAACTTAATCTTCTCCACACTCACATTGAGGTGGGTACTATCATTAGCCCCATTTACAGATGAGGAAACCAAGGCCCAGAGAGGTTAAGTAATTTGCCCAGAGCTATGAAGTGACAGAGCTGGAGTATAAATGCAGGCAGCCCAGCTCTGGAGACTGTGATCTATCACCTTCTCAGATGGGTTAGACAAACAGCATACAGATAACAATGATCAACTCTGTCAGTTGAACGCTTTGAAAAGGAGGGGCAGTTGTGAGACTGCCCATCTAGAGGGAGTGACCCCATTTGGGAAGCCTATGAAGGTTCCCTGCAGGAAGAGGCATTTTAGCAGAGACCTGATGATGAATGGGAGTTGGTGCCAGAAGGGAGCACAGGCACAGCAGATGCAAAGGCCTGGAAGGAAAAGAGCCCTGCCCAAAGAGCTCATCCTTGACTCCTCTCTCACATTCCATATCCATTCATCAGGAAATTATGTTGGCTCTGCTCTCTAAGTACATATATCCAAAGTCTAAACACTTTGCTCCACAGCCATCCTGGAGCTGCCAGTGGCTGTGGGGTGGAGGGTTGGGTGGGCATGAAGCACAGAGACAAGAATTGTCAAGACATACACACCCGCAGAGAGGTGGGGATAGGACCAAATCCTGTAGGAACTTTCAAGCCTGTCAAGGACTTTGGACCAAGCACAGGGGAACAAGCATGGCTTCCTGGAGGAGGGGGAGAGGTTACCCGAAAAGAGAGGGAAGGAATCAGATTTGTGCTTTAGGAAGACCCAGTGACTACATGAGGAGGGGACAAGCCTGGAGACAGATCAGGGAGGGTACAAACCTATTCACTTCGCAACCCCTCCTCCGCCCCCACTCTGATCCTGTCCACCATCGTCTCTCACCTTGACTTTGGAGTGGCCTACTCACTGGTCTCCAGGCAACCACCCCTGCCCCCTTCAGTCTCTCCTCTATATGCGGCCAGAGGGGCCCTGTGAACACCTGAATCAGATCTTGTCCCTTCTCTGCTCGGAGCCCTCCTATAGCTCTCATCCCACCCAGCGTATAGCCAGAGTCCTTCCTGTGGCTCACAAGGCCCTAATTCATTGCTTCCTCCCACCCCAACCTCATCTCCAGCTCGCCTACTCCCCGGCACGCACGTGCGCGCACGCACGCACACACACTCCACTCCAGCCACACTGGCCTCCTTGGACTTCCTCACGCAGGGGAGGAGGCAGGGCCCTGCCTCAGGGCTTTATACTGGCTGCTCTCTCTGCTTAGAACACTCTTCCCCCAGGTCCCCACATGACCCCTCCCTCAGCTCCTTCAGGTCTTTGCTCAAATGTCACCTTCTCAGTGAGGCCTCCGCTCATCATCCTATTTGACGCTCCACTCCTCCGCCGCCCCTCCCTCCTTGATTCTTCTCCATAGCTCTTATCGCCCTACCTACTATACAATTTGCTTGTGTATCTTGTTTATTGTCCATCTCCTCCACGAAGGCAGGGATTTTTGTCTGTTTTCCCCACTGTTATAGCCCCAGTGCTGGGAACAGGGCCTGGCGCTGAAGAGGCACTCAACAAACATTTGATGAATTATGAATGGGAG